GGCACAATCCTGCCCAACATTCCCCACCTCCCCACTCCACCCCAGGGGCTGGCTCTCCCAGCTGAAGATCGAGCACACGTTTGCTTACAACAGAGAGACACAGAACAATCTGGCATTCAGAGCTTTTTGGAAAAGAGCAAGAAACTGAACACAAGAGAGATCCCACCCCAACCAACTGTAAGGGATTAAATAAATTATTTTGGCTTGCTGGAATCTTACATTAAATATTCTTGGAAATAAGTGGGCCATAGGCTAACACTAAGAAATCTTTCATAATAAAGATATTCAGGTTGTAAAATAACTGCTGTTACAGGATTTGACCTGAATAGAAAGGGACACAAAACGGAGCTTTCTCAACTGAGCTCTTTTCAATCCCCAGGGGAAAATAGCAGCTCTGTAACATAACTTTAAAGATGTCCACCCCTCCCGTAAGAAGTTCTCACTGTGAAAACCAGAGAGACAAAACCCTCCTGGGATGTAGTAAAGCACACGGACTTCAGAGTCAAAGTGATTGGAGTCTAAATCCTGACTGTTCCACTAACTTACTACATGACCTTAGAAGAATTAGATATGACTGCTGAGCCTCAGTGTTCTCATCTACGAAATGGGGGCACAGGAACCCTAACTTATAGTTACTGTAAGGAGTAAGTGAGCTCATATTTGCAAAAGGCACAGTCCTTCTCACATAGTAAGTTCTCAATCAATATTAGCCTTTCCCTCTTCTCTTCTGATGTCAGCCTTATTCATGCAATTTTCTAAACATCTTAGTAATTTATTTGTAATTGCTTCTGTGAAAGAATTGCCCCATCTGGCCAGAAGGTATAGCGGAAAGATTCCTGGAAAGAAAATCAGAGGACTTAGGAGCATTCCTACATCTGCTACTTGCAAGTCAGACCCTCTCGGGGCCTGTCTCCTGTGCTGTAAAGTGAGGCTGCCTACCACACCGCTGCCCCAGAATGGTTATGAGAATTCAGTGAGATATTGTATGAGAAAGCACTTTGAAAACCATGAAGCGCTCTACAGATGAAAGGGATTACTGTCATTCGAGTTCAACTCATAGAGAGGCATCTACATGACTCTATCCATGGGGACCCCAGACTGTGGCGATCCAGTCTGTGTGTGAGCCTCACCAGAGAAAACCAACCCCATAACGGGAGAGAGTAGCGAGCTGCAGAGCCGGGATTCACAGGACTTGGCAAACAGTCCAAGTTCAGTAGCGCTGATGATGGATATGGCCTCAAATCCGATGGAAATAGAGAAAGCTGCAGGCTCATCAACCGCAACTGCTTAGGTCCTAGCTGAAACTAACAGCGTGTATGGAAGGATCTACATATAGCCTAGAGTAAGGGAGGTTAAGTGGAGAGAACAGAGAATTCATCGGGGTTTATTCATCTGGATTCAAGGAGGAAAGACACCAGAGAATATGAGTATCCCAGTCACTAGAGAGATGGACTCCACTGTAGGACAGAAACCTGGATTTTCCAGAATAAAGAAGTGGTCAGAATAGCCATCAAGGTCACCTAATCCCTCCTCTTTGATTCTATTATCACCACCACCAATAATAACAATTACTATAATTATTCGCAACTCTCATTTCTGAACTCTATTTGCCAGGCACTGGGCTAACTGCTGTATGTGCCTCCTGTCATTTAATCTTTACCACATCCCATCCCTAGATAGACACTATTATTATGCCTGCTCCATGGATCAGCAAATAGCTATCCCGATGACCAATTTGGGAAATCCTTATCCTTAAGGATCTTTAACCCAAAATGCTTAAGATCAGGAAAGGGATATAAGAATCACAAATATTCCAGTCTCTCGAAAAAGATTCCCCTTGGTGTATATTAATCAATATCTCATTTTTCACATTCAACAAAAGGTAGAGAAAGCTGGAGCAGTCAAGAGGAGATGGTCAGTCACTCATAAAGCTTGAAGCAGGGCCCGAGTCCTAATCTCCAGCTTCTTTGCAGCAGAAAACTTGGCCTTAGCATTGTTGGTCCGTTTTCTGGTGCAAGGAACAATTGAGCTGGCTAGTGCGACGGTAGCTCAGCATGGGAGACGGTGGAACCAACCCAAACAACCTGAACAGCCTGACATCAGTATAGGGGCCATGATATCACTTCCTGCTTCTTGTTCTGTACAGAGGGGAGAAGAAAAGAGTTCTCATCACTGCCCTGAAAAAAAACAAGAAAAAGCTGCCAAGCCAGGGCCTGGCAATTAGTGCCGGAGTAAGTGATCATCTTGTGATTGCTCAGCTGGGGCCTGAAGACTTGTAAATGCATTTAGAGGACAGAAATAGAAGAGGTTGTGAGATAGCAGAGAAACCTGGCCCATTTGCCAGGAGAAAATGTCCCAAAGCTGCCGGGAAATTTACTCAATAGGATTTGGGGTGTGTCTTCATAAATAGGAAAAGTTAATGAATAAAACCCATGGATGAAGCCAGTGCACATGTCTTATCCTATTGTCTCCTCTCTCTATGACCCTCAGGATCCCCTGGAAGCCCCTCAGCACCTATCAGAGCCCCTCGACTCGGTGCTGACCTTGCACCACAATGAGCATCCCAGCTTGGCCCCAGTGTGCAGCCAGACCAAACTGGGAATGGACTGATAGTGATCCATGCTTCTTGGTGATCCCCCTATAGCCAACAGCAAGTACTCTGGCAAGAGCTGGACAACGTGTCCCAGAGAAGACAGGGCCCAAGGTCATGGGCAGGTTCACTGGTATCATCAGACCCTACTCCAACCAGACCCCCCCTGACTCCAAAGCCTTGGGAATCTTGCAAAGCCCCATCTGCCTCTATGGCTTCCACCACCCAGAAGACCCCAGATCATCCCAAAAGAGATGGTGGGTCGCGGCCCTCATGCAGGTGTTTCAAAGGTAAGACAAAGGCATGTTCTGGTACAATGCACTTCACAGACCCCCATAGCCCAAGAGGCACCCCTGCTCCCACTTCTGTGGCCTGTAGAAATGTGATGGGTCCCAAAGCCCTCTCGATCTCCCCGAGAGCTGCAGGGAACACAATGCCCTAGAAAGCTCTGGGGCATGAACACCCAGCCCCTTTCCTCAAATGGGACAGAGCTTCTCCCACATTGACAGTTGTCCTCCCCAAGTATGACCCTCCACAACAAACTGGCACTCTGCATGCCATATTCTGCCCACAGACAGTTTCATTTGGCCCACACAGTCAAAGGTTTTGTTTTTTGTCACCAGCATTTGAAACTTATGTGGTTTCACATGGATCTCCAGCTTTTCTTGAAAAAACAAGTCTGGCAACACTGAGCCCCACCTCCACATGTCAGCAGTCAGCTGGAACTGCTGGCTGGCTGCACCTGTGGTGGGGACACATGGTCCCCAGCCTCCACTGTCCATATCTGGTCCACCATGGGCATTTGGCTTTGTGACCCTTGTATGAGTTCCTATGAAAAGGGAGACTTCTCAGATGTCAGAGCTTCTTCCCTTGGGATATTTTACAAAGAAATCCACATCCCCAATAAAATAAACACCTGGAACATCTGGTCCAAGGCCCTCCTCTGGTCCCAGCTATGCCTCCAGCTGCAAAGAACACACATCAGGATATTCTCACCACAGAGGCTAGACTAGGGCAAGGGGGCAGCAGCTAAATTAGACAGTTGACAGGGAGGTCACAGTCCCCCGCAGCTAACACATCAGGCCCTAAGCAAGGGCCATAGAGCTGGTTGTTTCCAGAGGGAGGAAAGAAAGTTCAGCACAAAGCACAGGTGGCCATTACTGGTGAACAAATATTTATCGAACACTCACTATGTGCTTAGGAAAACACACAAGGTCCCGAGGGTAAGGCCAGGACCCCCCAAAGAGAAACAACTCCCCACCACAATTTTCTACGATTTCTTCCTTTCCCCCCGCGCCCACCCTCCTCTTCCCGATGGCTTCCCTCAGATGCTCTGCCTCCTCCTAGGAGGTTTCTATCCAGCCCACCCGGGCGCCCTTCCACTGTCAATTGCAAAGTGACTCAGTCAGTAAAGCTTTCAACTGGCCAAAGGAAAGGCTAGTCTACACACTATTCCTCTATTTTCTCCCCAAATGCAATAGACCCCACCAGACCTGGTTCCTGCAGAATCTCTGCCATTTAGGAACATGCCAGTGGATGTCTGGGATGGCCACTCTTCTTGAAGAAGAGTTGACCCAGACAACAAGTATGCCCCCGAGGGTGCAGGGGGTTGGCATTTCCCTGATCACTCACCCTAGGCTTCCTTTCATGCCCACCTTCTCCCCAGGAAATGGCAGTCCTTTCACTGAATCCCAGGGTCCATCAACCCAGAATAGGCTGGGAGAGGAAGCGTCAGGCTTTTGTGAGTCTGTCCCTGCTAGATCCAGCCAGAGCCAGCCCCTGAAGGTGCCATTCACCTGTCAAACATGGCAGGCAGGAGAGGGGAGTGATGGGGAGAGGGAGGCACAGACAGGAACCCCCACATAGCCATGTGACCTCCAGCACGGAAGTGCTAACCAAAGCTGTGTGACCTTATACAGGTGTCTCTACTTCTCTGAGCTCTTACCATTGAACCCAGAATCTATTTATATATAACATTTGGTCTGGTCTTGTTTTTCCCTCTTCGTCCAACCCCCGACCCCAACACACACACACACACACACTCTCTCTCTCTCTCTCTCTCAGAACCTACAAATTGTCATAGAAGTGTAGTATTCACACTACATATAAGTGGAATTTCCTATCATGTACACTCCCATAAAATTGCAAATTTCATCATGAAACATGAACAAAGTCTTGGGAGTCAGAAGACTTTCCCTCTAAGCCCTGGTCCTAGACTTTCCCTTCTCATAGGAACCTTAGATATCATCAAATCCAAAATCCTCATTTTACAAGGCAAAATCGGAGGCCCAAGAAAGTTAAGGGCACACAGTGGCACAGCCAGGTCTAGATCTCAGGCCTCTGGCTTCACTGCACAGGATTCTCTCCCTGTCATGTGCCCCCAACCACCCTGCAGCCCAGCTCTACTCACATGTAACGCAAGTGGGGGTTCTTGGCAAAGGCTCTGGGCTGGATGTTCCGAAGTCCTGAGTTCTTGATGGTCCTGGGCAGAGAGGAAAAGAGGGTCAGCAGAGCTCAAAGGGCAGCAGAACGTCTGCTCTGGGCAGAGGCTGGCAGAAGTCAGGCCAAGATGGGACCTGCAGACCCCCATGGGTTGTCTGCATCTCTTCATCACCAGTTATCATAGAGTGGCCCCACAGGGGTGCTCATGGGAAGCACCCGGGCTCACACCCCCCAAGGGGAGCTGGGCTAGTGCAGGCAGCTGCTCTTTACCCACCCTGCCGAGTGAGTAAGAGCAGGGGCCAAGGCTGGTCCAGCTCTTGGCACCTTCTCCCCATCCCACCCCAGGTCCCAAAGCCACTAGCACTGACGTCCAATGGAGGAGTCATTGGGAAAGCTGGTATTCTGCGGGGCTCATCAGTCAAGCATAAGGCTGAAGGAAGAGACTAGCCCTGCAGGCCTGGGTGCAAGGCCTGCCTTAAAACCCGAACCTCAGGAGGGACTTCCTGCAGCACCTCACCTCTCTGGGCCTGGGGGAAATGCGGGGAGTGAAGAGACAGCCTCTGACACCCCCTGAGTGGGTTATGCCAACTCCATCAAAAGAGGAGACTCAAGGGGGAAAGCGCAGATGGCAGCCTTGCCACACCTGTCACCTAGAAGGTGAACAGGTGACACCCCACCCCTCCCACCGCGAGAGGCCCCTCCTGTGGCCTGGCGCACTCACAGCTTTTGGAGTCCAGTGTAGAGCTCCATGTCCACGGCATTGAGCGTGTGCAGACTGCGCCAGTTCTCTATGTGTCTGCGGGGAGGAGGAGAGAGGCAAGGTCAGGTCAGCTGGGACAGCAGAACAGCGGTGCTGGCTTTAGAGCCGGGGAGACCTGGGTTTGAATCCTGGATCAGTCAATGCGAGCCAGGCCTTCTGGCAAGTTACCAGATAACTCTGAGCCTCAGTTTCCTCCTCTGCATGGTGGCCTTCACACCAGTGGCCTGACAGGGTCATTATGAGCATTAAGTGGAATCATTGGTTCAACGTGCCTGGCCCACAGACAGCATTTAATGTGTCCCCCTTAGCTCCAGAAAGACTCCACTCTCTAAAGACTTGAAACCAAATCTCCCTGCATGTCTTCCTGACTCAGTTTCCCTCTGTTGCCTTTCCTTCTTTTCCCTTTTTTAAGATGTCCTAAGAGCAGGCTCTTTTTTTTCTTAGTTCCTGCCCATAAAGAACATACACATGACATGGTTTACAAAAAGGAGGAGGTGGCTTGCTAGCAGGCATGGTTTCTGGGTAGAGAAGCCATGGAGGACAAACACCTGCCTCAGGTGCCCACCAGGTCCAGACACTGACAGCCCCACTTGGGTGATCACAGCCCAGTCCATCCTGAACCTCAAGAAAATCAAAGGCTTGATTTGGCCGAGCTCACTCCAGAGAGGAGAGGGCCACCTTAGCACCGGCGCGGCGAGGCACCATGGTGCCATGAAAAGAATGTGAGACTGGAAGTCTCGCTTCATCCTGAGACCTAAGTAGCCAGTGGCCTTGAGTGGGTGCCTGAACTTCCTGGGTCTCTCGTTTCCTCATTTGTAAAGAGAGAGGGCTGCATTAGATCAGCAGTTTTCCCCCTTTTCATCACGAAAATCTCCTTTTAGAACTTTCTCACAAGGCATCTCATGTTTCAGGAGATTTCTGTCTAGCAAGCACACTACGTTTATCAAGTAATAATTAATTCATCTTCTTGTATTTATTAATCAAAGATATAAATCAGTGTTAACCAGAGCCTTTTATCAACAGACACAAACCAGTGCTAACTCACCCAGTGCATACATTCCAGCCCAAAGCAAAGAAATTCAACAGTTCTATTAGCAATTAAAAGGCTTGTCATGGGTATGGGTCTGATTTCTGTTAGTTCTTTTGATACTGACAAAATGCCAGGGACAAACATCCCTCATTACTGCTTTTGGGGTCCCCAGGTTGAGGACCATTAGGCTACGGATTACCAAGGCCCTTTCCAGCTCTAAAGCTGGTGAAAGATGATCACTCGTACACACCTGCTATCCCAGAGCACCAAAGGATCCCAGGAAAAGGCCTTCCACTGCCCGCCCCCACCCTCCCAGAGTTAGACCTTCTGGTCAGTGACCATGAGGCCTAAATACCATCTTAGTGAAGAGTGCAGAGAGGTGACAGCTCACCCTAGGACAGAGCTACCCAAGACACACTCTGGACAGAAAAGTGACAGCCACCTTCCCCAGACGTCTCCACTCCAGCCCCGCCACCCCTGTGGCTCGGCCATCTGCCGCCAAGTTGAGCCAGAGCCAGGAAGCGAGCAGGATGGTGGCTGCCAGGCCCTCTGGATACATTTCAGAGCCACACAGTGACAAGGTGTGCCGGGAGCCCGTTTTGTACCACATTCTCTTGGAGGCCCTGCTGAGCAGCCAGAGACACTGGTATCTGCCTGGGACATGGACCAGGTGGACAGGTTGGTAATGGGTCTCAATTCTAAGGTCTTCTCCATGGAAGCCTCAGAGCCCCAGGGTAGCTTGCTTGGTCTGATCCCACCAGGGCAGGGACAGTGGCAACATTACAAATGAAAAAGAAGGTCAGAAGGAGTAGAACTATCTATGCCACTGGGTCCCCCCAGTGTATTCCCCAGGCCATTGGTCCATAGAAATGACCAGGCAGATCACAGTGTTTGTACAGAGCACCATTCATTCATGGGAACCTAGCTTCCTTCAAGAATCTGCTCTCAATAAGTGGCTATCAATCAAATTGTTTAAATAAATGAAATCATTTTTCTCAGCCCACATTAGAATTCCATAAATGTGTTCTTATGAAGGTTGAGCTGTCAATCATTATTGCATTCTTTTTTTTTTTTTAAGGGGATCACAACCCTTGGCACGGTGTGGTCTGCACCACGCTCAGCCAGTGAGCACACCGGCCATCCCTACATAGGATCCGAACCTGCGGCCTTAGTGCTACCAGCGCCGCACTCTCCCAAAGTGAGCCATGGGGCCGGCCCAGGGAATAGCATTTTTTTTTTCCTTTTTTGTCTTTTTTCGTGACCGGCAACGGATCGCAACCCTCGGTGTTGCACCCGCACCTCGCTCAGCCAGCGAGCGGCCGGTCTGCATGTGGGATCCGAACCCTCGGCGGGAGCGCCACTGCGCTCCCAAGCGGCGCACTGTAGCAGTGCACCACTGGCCGGCCCGGGAATAGCATTTTGATAGCCACAGTGCAATGGTGAGGTTAGGAGTCAAGGCTCTAGAATAACGGTTGGCAAACTATAGCCCATCCAGCATGCTGCCTTTTTCGTATGGCCCTAGAGGTAAGAACAGCTTTTACATTTTTAAAAAAATCAAAAGAAGAATCATATTTTGTGGCATGTGAAAACTACAAGAAATTCAAATTTCTGTGTTCATTCCCATTCATATACTATCTATGGCCACTTTCAAGCTACAATGACAGAGGTGAGTAGTTGCTGCAGGGACCAGATGACCCACAAAGCCTGCAATATTTACTGTCTGGCTCTTTACAAAGAAAGGCTGCTGACCCCCGTCCTAGAGCCCGGCTGCCAGGATGCACCTCCTGACCCCAGCACTCCCTCTATCCATGTGACCCTGTCCGGGTTACTTCTCCTGTTTATGCCTCAGTTTTCTCATCTGTCAAATGGAGATGATAAAAATACCTGCTTCATGAGAATGATGTGTTGATTGAAAGCCTATGCCATAAAGTCCTTATGGCAGTGCAGGGCACACATGAAGTCCTCAGGAAGAGCTAGCCATGATGATTATTTTTTTCCCTGTGCCTCCCAGAGGCTGAACAGTCTTCTCTCAGTTTCCAAGCTAAAAATGGCATCATGCAAATTTTGCTGGAAGTTGTCATTTCTCAGCAATCATTGATAAAAACCCCACATGGCAGAAAGGAAGGGGTAGAAAACCTGTCATTCATGACCTCCAGGAAAATGATTCAAGCAAAAATTTATAAACATGTTCAAGGAATGTGCGGACGACCGCGTCAGGGCAGTTTCCCAGGAGGAGCCGGATGGCGAAGGTGCAGCCCTGACATTTGCGGATGACATCAACAGAGCACCTGCCAGGTTCTCCTGTGACTCACCACTTGGTAACTCTGCTGGCTGGTTTGTGCTATTAGGGAGGCCATGAGTTGAAGTGGAAAAGGCAGGCTCTAAAAAGTATAATAAATAATAGGATGAAATAGGAGAGCAGGTTTGGTTTGCTTTTTGTTAATGGTAAACAGTGGCTACCTCAACCTAGTATGATCGCATGTGCCTCCTCCTCTCCTGTGCTTTTCTGGGTTGTCCAGATTGTTTTTATAAAGCATTTGTGTTGAAAAACAATCAATAACTTCACATTTTTAAAGGAAGCTCAGGCACCTGAACACTGCGACAGGCTGGACCAGCCCATCCCCACCGAGGCATCCTACAAACCCACCCCCGCTGCAGGGGAGAAGAACACAGAGCAAGCGGGGAACATGGGTGCATGGCGAGGGCTGGCGGCACCCACAGAGACCGGCAGCCCTGTGCTCAATCTGGCTGCTGTCCATGCTGCCATCAGGAACAGGGAGGGGAGGAGGTGGGGAGAGGTCAAAGAGGTAGCCCTCCAGGCTCTCACCCCTACTTTAAATAAATTACCTCCACTTTAGTCTCTTAATACAATGGTCCTCAGGCGGAAGTGATTTTGCCTCCCAGAGGACATCTGACCCTGTCTGGAGACATTTTTGGTTATGACAACTGGGGAAAGAGCATAGCACTGGGATACAGTGGGTAGAGGCCAAGGGTGCTGCTAAACACCTGTAATGCACAGAACGGCTCCCCACAACAAAGAATTATCAGCCCCAAATGTCCATAATACCAAGATTGAGAAGCCTTGCTTTATCATAAAGCTTTTGCCTAAGATTGCCATGAAAGCAAGCATCCCATGGCTTAAAACAACATCAATTTTGAAAAATGACTGCTTTTCAGCAAACACTACGAGGCCTTGGGCCAAAACAAAAAAAGTCTGCCTCTAGGACCCTGAGTCTGGGTGAGCGGAAAAAATGGACAGCCGTGGCCCCCAGGACCCTCTCAAGCCAAGGGCAGTATCTGAGAGGAAATTAAGGGCTCTTTAGCCCACTGGACCATGGCCCAAGCCAGGCTACCCATTCCAGAAGCAGTTTGGCCCCTTTTCACCAAGCTCTAAGCTAGAATCCACTGGCCAAGAGCCGTTTCCCTTCACCAAAAGCTCCTCTCTTGGACTTCTCCACCCAGAGGGTCAGTTCAATGCCCTGTCCCCACCTTCTCACCACTGCCATCCATGACACCACAGGATCACTACTCTGCTCTGCCAAGAGCTAATGTGCACCGTTTTTCTAGAGAGAGGGGGAAGGGGAGCTAATAAATGACCATGTGGACCTAAGAGTCAGAGCCAGGATTAGGACTGCAGCTCAAAAACCTCGGTGAAGTCAGAGTGGACCTCCATGATTAAAGGCCATGATGCTGCCAGGCAGGCTCAGCAGCACAAAGATAGAGGGTGGCTGTGCAGTCTCTTCAGCAGTATCAGAAAACTCAGAAACATACCACTTTCAATGATTCACAACAGCAACACCAAATCCTGGAGACCGAGGGCAACAGATAGATGTCTCATACCCATTTTTGTAATGAGACATGGCATAAATTAAATATGAATCGGTACACCCATAAAGAATACAAAACTCCTTTGTGCTAGGATAAATTAGATTGCACTTTTGTACCATAGCTTTCTCTCCCTCCTGTTTGGCTTGGGACGACATGGAAATGAATTGGCAATCTCCAA